GTGTCCTGAGATGACTTTTGTTGTGATTTGGTGCTATACAAATAAAGTTTGATTTGATTTGATTTGATTTAAACCTAGAGAAATTTTCTGCAAAGATGTTGGTACTTTATAGGTCTTAGTGTACTGAACTGTTTCCAGGCAACATTTTAGTCCTTAATTTATTTTTTGCTCCATATAGCACTAAAACATTTATATATGAGTCCACGCTCTGATAAACAATACAAATATAATTCACACTTAAATTCACTCAGCTCCTTAAATGAGGATCATGAAAATTTGAGCAGCTGAACATGGATACAGAAAAGGTTGTGAAACCCTGCTTTAGACTCACAGAAACAAAGAATTCAGCTTCCATGTGTGACCAAGTACAAATACTGAAAATGCAGTCTTTTCGTACTGTAACTCTTCCTGTGCTGCAGTTTGTCTCTTTATCAAGGAAGGACATCCTCAACACAAGATTCACATTAACACTGACAAAAGTTTAGAATTTTATTTTTCACTGTTCACCTTTTCACTTGTCATGTTATGTCCACAGCTAGTGCTTCAGATTCATCTACTCCCTCAGCCAGCTCTACCGACACCTCCACCTATGCATGTGCTAACAGACGGACTGGTAGACAAAGCACTGCTGTGTTCAATCAGCCCGGCACTATTTAAGCCAGGCGTTGATTTGTTTTGTCGCTGGTCCGTTGTTTCTGACAAGTCAGAAGTCTTCTTGGCTCCTGCGAATAGTATTCCCGTGACTAACCTGTGATTGCTTTGTCTCCAGTACCTGGTGGTCTCCCTGTCTCTGGCAACCTGATTCTCATCCTGTTGGCTCTCCTCTGCTGTCCTCCTCCATCAGCGAGACGCCATTCTCCTACACCCCCTGCATTGTCAACACTTACCTCTTCAGCTGTCCTCGTCTCCAGCGAGCCGTCTTCCTCAGCTGTGACGGCTCTTCATCCCGACTGGGCCAGTACCTGCCTGTCTTCCTCATACTTCCTACACTCCAGACCTGTGCATCAATCAGCTGGGTTCCCCTTGCAGTGACTCCACTCCTTTGTTTCAATTCTTCCTTGTTCTTTCCA